ACTGAAGGAATCAAGATGCCCCACGAAAATAACATTAAGAGTCTGGATGAGGAAGAGTACTACAAATACTTGGGTATCCTTCAAGCTGACAACATCAAGCACACTGAAGTCAAGAAAAAGATTAGAGGTGAATACATCAAGAGAGTGAAGAAGATCTTAAAATCCAAACTCAATGGAGGAAATACCATAAAGGCAATCAACACCTGGGCAATCCCAGTCATTAGGTACACAGCTAGAATAGTGGACTGGACTCAAGCAGAACTAAAAGCAATGGATAGGCAGACCAGAAAAATAATGACAATGAATCATGCCCTTCATCCACGCAGTGACATTGATAGACTTTATCTACCAAGGCAAATAGGTGGGCGTGGAATGCTACAAGTACATCAGATGGTTGAAGAAGAAAAAATGGCTTTGGAAGAATATCTGAAGAACAATGATGAAGATGCACTGAAATTAGTATATCAGGAAGGCTTACTAACTACTGGAGAGACCAAACTGGCCTACAAGAAAGACCAAATGAAGAACAGAATAGAGGCATGGGAAGACAAAGCACTACATGGCCAATACATTAAAAAAATAGCTGGGAAAGCAGATAATAACAAGACCTGGCAATGGCTAAGAGCAGGAAAATTGAAGAAAGAGACCGAGGGACTAATTCTGGCTGCACAAGACCAAGCCTTAAGGACAAATGCATACAAAGTCAAAATTGAGAAGACAGCAACAGACAGTAAGTGCCGCCTATGCAAAGAAGCTGAAGAAACAGTGGACCACTTGGTAAGCTGTTGCAAGAAGATTGCACAGACTGATTACAAGCAGCGGCATGACAAAGTAGCAACAATGGTGCATTGGAAGATCTGCAAAAAATATCATTTGCCTGTAAGCAAAAACTGGTGGGATCATAAAATAGAGAAAGTCATAGAAAATGATAAAATTAAACTGCTCTGGGACTTCAGAATTCAAACAGACAAGCACCTGCAACATAACACCCCAGACTTAACAATTGTCGATAAGAAAGACAAAAAAGTCTGGATAGTGGACGTGGCAGTGCCTGGAGATAGCAGAATAGAAGAGAAAGAACTGGAGAAGATAACAAAATACAAAGACCTACAAATAGAAATAGAAAGACTGTGGCAAAAGCAAGCAAGGGTAGTACCAATAGTCATAGGCTCCTTGGGTGCAATCCCAAAACAACTGGAGCACCACTTGAACACAATTGGCATTGACAAATTCGCTATTAGTCAATTGCAAAAGGCGGCCTTATTAGGAACTGCTTCCATCCTGCGACGATATCTGTAATACCATCAAACATCCACATCTGCCTATCCCAGGTCCTGGGTAAGGACTCGATAGGTAGACAAAATGCCAAATCCAGTCTGAACATCTGGCTGACTGTGCGATGATCGATAATAATAATAATAAAGTTGGAAGGAACTTGGAGGTCATCTAGTCCAACCCCCTGCTCAGGCAGGAAACCCTATACCATTTCAGACAAATGCTGTCCAGTCTCTTCTTAAAAACCTTCAGTGTTGGAGCATTCACCACTTCTGGAGGCAGGTTGTTCCACTAGTTAATTGTTCTAACTGTCAGGAAGTTTCTCCTTAGTTCTAGGTTGCTTCTCTCCTTGATTAGTTTCCACCCGTTGCTTCTTGTCCTGCCTTCAGGCACTTTGGAAAATAGCTTGACTCCCTCTTCTTTGTGGCAGCCCCTGAGATATTGGAACACTGCTATCATGTCCCCCCTCGTCCTTCTCTTCGTTAAACTAGACATACCCAATTCCAGCAACCGTTCCTTATATGTTTTAGCCTCCAGTCCCCTAATCATCTTTGTTCTCTTCTCTGTACTCTTTCTAGAGTCTCAACATCTTTTTTACATCGTGGTGACCAAAACTGGATGCAGTATTCCAAGTGTGGCCTTACCAAGGCATTGTGAAGTTAGTGTGTGTTGGCCTTGTTTGGCAGCTGCAGCACACTGCTGGCTCATATTTAGGTGATTGTCCATTAGGACTCCGAGGTCCCTCTCACAGTTATTACTATTGAGCAAGGTACCCCCTATACTATATCTGTGCATTTGGTTTTTCTTGCCTAAATGTAGAACCTTGCCTTTTTCACCATTGAATTTCATTTTGTTAGATAGCGCCCAGTGTTCACGTCTGTCCAGATCCTCCTATATCTTAAGCCTGTCTTCTGGAGTGTTGGCTATTCCTGCCAGTTTGCTGTCGTCTGCAAATTTGATGAGTTCCCCATCTATCCCCTCGTCCAAATCGTTGATAAAGATGTTGAAGAGCACTGGGCCCAGAACAGAGCCCTGGGGTACCCCACTACACACTTCCCTCCATGTAGATGTGGTTCCATTGAGGACCACACATTGAGTATGGCCGGTCAGCCAGCTACGGATCCATCTGGTGGTGATACTGTCTAACCCACATTTTTCTATCTTGTCAAGTAGTCGGTTGTGATCTACTTTATCAAATGCCTTACTGAAGTCCAAGTAAATTATGTCCACAGCATTCCTCTGATCCACTAATTTTGTCACTTGGTCAAAGAATGCAATAAGATTTGTCTGGCATGATCTATTTTTGACAAACCCATGTTGGCTTTTAGTAATGACTTTGTTTTCCTCTAGGTGTTCGCTGATTTGTTGTTTGATTATCTTTTCCAGGATCTTCCCAGGTATTGAGGTCAGACTGACAGGTCTGTAATTTCCTGTGTCCATTTTTTTCCCCTTTTTTGTAGATGGGAACTACATCAGCTATTTTCCAGTCCTCTGGTAGTTCCCCTGTGCTCCAGGATCTTTGAAAAATATAGTTCAGTGGTTCTGAGATCATATCTGCCAGTTCCTTGAGAACCTTGGAGTGTAATCCATCTGGTCCTGGCGATTTGAACTCTTCTAGGCTGGACAGATGCTCACTTACCCTTTTCTTGCCTATCTTAACTTGCATTTCTATTCTGTTTTTTATGGCACTATTTTTGGTAGGTTGCTCTGTTTTTCCCTTTGTGTAAAGACAGATGCAAAAAATGAGTTAAATAGTTCTGCTTTCTCCCTGTTGCGTGTCACCTTCTTGCCACTTTCACCCACTAATGGACCAATCATTTCCTTCACTTTTTTCTTGTTTTTACATGTTGAAAGAAGCTTTTTTATTATTATTTTTGACTTTGGTCGCAAGCCTTAGTTGATTTTGAGCCTTGGCTTTTCTCACTTCATCTTTGGAGGCTCGGAATATCTGTTTTCCTAAACAGATATTCCCCAAATAGAATAGAACAGAATAACAGAGTTGGAAGGGATCTTGTAGGTCATCTAGTCTAATACTCCTGACCAAGCAGGAGTCCCTGCACCATTTTTGACAGATGGCAGTCCAGTCTCTTCTTGAAATAATCACTACTCATTAATTTTTGCCTCTCTGAATGGCGGAATTACTTTTATGGATTCCCTCATCTCAACCTCATCTATCCATCCATTTCTGTCATCTTACAGAACAATTCCTCAACCCCACCTAGATCACATTCATTTATGATATTGTACTATTTTTGCAAAAACCCATTCCTAATTTTTTTATTATTAGTATTAACACTACCTTCTGGAGCACAACAACCTGTGAATTTCTTCTTTTACAGCATCCTAAGCAAACTACATCACATCAATTAATTCTTTCTGAGATACATGTTAGTCTTTATTTAAATAAATATTTTCTTCCATATATGCACTCACCTACTCTACAAAACCAGGCCATATTCATTCAAATGTATTACATCCTTAACTTTAGTTTCACAAACATGCAACATAGTATTATTCTGGGAATTTGCCCACATTCCACAACTAGTAGAATAGGTTACAGAATTTACTGTCTATACATTAATGACCAGAATAAAGAAAATATTCATTTGACCCTTATAACAAAACAAATATGATTTAGCATCTATAACAGTCACAGTAAAATAGCAGTTGAAATATAAATTCAAAAGGAACAGATGCAAGAGGAAAGAATAGTATTACCTCTATGTACTCAGGAATCCAAGTGACTTAATTTGGTAATGCAGTAGAGATCATCTGGGTTAAAACCAGAGGTAGAGTAAATAAAAGCAATACTGTTATTGGCATCTAGTTTAATAGATGTGGAGAAGATGCCTTCCAAAAGCAAATTCCAGATTATTCAAAGAAGCATGAAATAAGAGTAATAAAATTTTTATTTACCCAGAAAAACTATGTCAACTATGGTTTTCCTGGAAATTGGTAACTGTCAACTTATTTCTTCAGATAATGGATGAAGGAAGAATCAATGAACCTTGACTTAGTATAATTAATATGGAAGATTTGGTTGAAGAAATGGAAGTAGCAAGAATGATGGGAGAAACATTGCATATTTTAATGCAGTAGAAATCAATGTGCAAATTTCTGAGCTCAAGTACTCAACGTCTGAGTGCTTACTGGAGATTGAATTTGAGCAAAAGTAGGTAAAACCAAAAGAAAGATGGCTGAGAATAATAGAAACTCTACTGACAGAAATGGGCAGTGGCTATTAACAGATATTAACAACACTTCAACATTTCATTATGGTTGATAAATTTAATATACATTGATCAAAAATATTTTTGTACAATATGAATGAATAATGCATTTGCAGTGCAAGAGCAATTAATTAATGTGCCCTTCTACCTATTCATAGCCTTGAATTCCAGGTTTGGGAAGTCCTTTAGAAGCAGAAGTGTATCTAGAAATCAGATCATGCAATATGGAAGGTCTCCTAAATCAGGCATGTCAAACTTGCGACATCATGTGACGGCGCGTGACATATCGCGACTTTTTCTCCATTGCCGGCAATGGAGTGGGTATGGTTTTGGCGTGACGCATCTGGCCCGTGGGCCAGCAGTTTGACATACCTGTCCTAAATCATTCTAGATGTTTAGAAGTAATTTCCAATTGATAACAAAACAATTCTCTTTAATTATTAAATAATATTTAATTTAATAAGAGTCAGTTTGATCTAGTGGTTAAAACATCACCTGGAGACTGAGTTTTAGTCTCTCCTTGGGCATGAAAGCCAGCTTGGTTACTTTAGGCCAGTCACTCTCTCCCAGCCCAACATCCCCATTGTTTGCTGTGGGGAAAATAGAAGAGGAAGGAGATATTAGATATGTTCACCACCTTGAATTACTTATAAAAATAATAAAGGCAGAAAATAAATAAATAAAATGCTCGCTGTGTGTGCTCAAAAATACTCTGAGATGGTATGACTGCACGTGTAGCAAGCTGAAACAAAATCCCAAACCACCTTAAAACTCTTCACATGTAAGGGTGGGAATTCACCAAATATTTGTACACATTATTATTGAACAACATGATATCTGACTAAATATAAAGTAAAGATTTCCTTTCAGATCTGTTAACATAATGAAAATCAACTAGTTTTCTTAATTCCCCAGAGTTGAAAAAGATTAGCTAAGAGTGGCTTAATCAGATATTCTGCAAAGCATAGGGGTTGGCCAGCTTTAGCCAACAGGTCCAATCCATTCCATTGTCATTAAAATATTACATTTTAGCTGTTTCAATAAAATTCTTCATACAGGCCTTTGGCTGCAAGTATCTATTGGTCACTTTTATTCACAGGAGATGGCAAACTAATGTTTTATGAGATCTCCCTCTGGAGCTCTTGGCTTTCTTTTGGCAATGTCTGTAGTTATTAAGCAAGTCCTTCTAACACTTTATTGCATTGGATTTAAAACATTTACTACAACTAGCATTTCATTATTTCAGATCTTAATAAGCTGCAATGGGAATCACCTTTCCAACTGAGCACAAATTCCTTTTTCTCCTGGCTACATTGAAAAACAAATTTCTATATTAATTAACCAAGAAACCATGGTTAACAAAATTCAGACCTGCAAACTGTTAAACCAATGTCAAATAGTATAGTTTGTTCTGAAGTAATTAACTACTGATTTCCAGTTCAGAATAAATAGGAGAGTATTGGTAACTGAAGATAACTGATTTGCTTGCTTCTTCACATGAAGGGAAGAATAAAAATCATATAGGTGCAGCCAAAATATTTTCTGCTCCTTTGAACTACTAAAGCAAAACAAGATTATTTGAATGCAATTGTAAAGACATAACTGCATCCAAAATGTATTTCTTCTATAAACCCAGTGTACAAGTATTAGAGAAAAAGTTTATTTGCATGTATAATTAATTGCAATACCACACCCATGAATTCATACAAAACATGTTCATTTTTGTAAAAGCAAATGATTATACTTTTGATACTTAATCACTTTTAATTTTGAAGAGGGAACTTTATAAAATGTTGTATCTCTGGTCATCTTCTAATTACTCTTGATCAAAACAAAACAGGAACAAAGGGTTCTCCATTCTGTGGAGAAGTTTCCATGTTCAGTAACATTTTTATGTCTCTGAGTTTAACATTCACAGATCCATGGGCTCCTCTCTAGTGCATAGATATAATTCATTTTGAAACAGAGCCAAGTATGCTACACACGTTTAACTCAGTTTTGAGTAGTGCTGTGAGTCCTTTGAGGTAGACTAGGCCAGGAAAGAGACCCTGTTTGAATACTGGAACTCTGTTGTTAAGGGCATAATAACAGATTACTAAAAAGCCTGTTAAGATTTCTTCCCTTTCTTTCTCTGCTCTTATACTAAAGAGAATCAAGACAGGACAATCTTCAGATTTTACCTCACTCCTTCCTGCCTATCCAGACTAAGCTGATATTTGCACAGCAGTCTCTGAATTCATTCTTCAAGATGATCTCACTGTTCTTCTAAAGGCACACTCGTTAAATCTCTTTCTTGCCATCTCAGGTCTCTGGCATTTCATATGACAACGACCCAAGTCTGTAAATTTGCTCTTATTATGAAGTGGTTGGAGCATTTTTCACCCACCTCCCCATGTTTCATCCACCTCTTTGCATACTTTTCTTGTTTTTCCACATTTTCTAGCCATCTAAAACAAAGAGCATACCCTCAAGGATCTCACAAGAAATCATGAACTGATGATTTCTCAATTTATGTTTTATCCAATAATGCACTTACTGAAATGGAAATTTCCATTAAATGTTAGATAAAGCTTTTTATTCCAAAATATTCTTTAGATATCACCTCTTGCTCCTAAATTAATGTGAATATCAAATATGTAGAAAAGATATTCTGAATATAGGGTAATATTTTTTCAGGTTTCACACAGCTAATTATGTACCAAAATGAAGAAACTCAAGTATGAAGCTAATAAAATCAATATGACACAGCTAAATACGATTAAAACAAGATGTCAGAATCCAATCATATTTCATCTTTAATTATCAAATATAGAAACTCCCAATTCTGCCTTCTTTGGATTCTGCCATAAGAGGGAGAGAAGGGGGAGAACAAAGGGGCTTTATGGCCCTCACTTCCTTCAGTACACTTCAAAGAGCTGAATGCTGAATGTGTGTTTATTGTAACATCAAAGCGTTAGCACTAGAGAACCTTATCATAACAAAGCAGGATACTTGCCTTTCATGTAGTTACCTGAAGTCTCCATTCAGACGGAAGAAAGAAGAAAGGGGGTGGAATTGTGATACTTGAAACTATCACTGGAAGGGGGGTTGATTGGGTGGGACTACTGGGGAACCCCTTAAAACCTTGAATGGAAGAGCTTGAACCCCAAGTCCTGTCTAGCATGCCTGCAACCATTTTCTCTTAATAAAGGATTCCTGTTGGAAGAATTATTCCAAGAGTTCTGTCTTCTTAAGATGCAAAGTGGGGTGGGTCCTTACATTAGACAGGACTTGCAAAATTAATCCACCTGGAAGGGAGACCCTTGCCGGGGGATTTTGCAAAAATTTACCATGTCAGACAATGGAGCAAGAGAGGGGGAAAACTCCCTGGAAAGAGAGCCGCTGACCCAGTTGGAACCTTGCCAGATGTTGGGATCCGAGAGGTCAGATTCCTCAGGAGAAGAAGTGGTGGAGACACGGGACCACAAGCCTCGCTGGTCAATGGGCGTTGGAAAGAAAAGTGAGTGGGGAAAGGAATCAGAGAAGGTGACCCTGAGACGGGGGACCAAGCAACCAGAATGGAAGCAGGAGATGGAGAAATCCCTGCACGCAAGTGAAGAGGGAGGAAGCTGGGCACCGTACTCAGACTGGATCCTAGAGAAAGCTATTGACCTGATGAAGAGAACTCTCAGCTCCCTAGGAGAGGAGAATACTGAACCCTACGGCCGCCCCAGTTCCTGGAGCCGCAAAGGGAGAGACACCGAGGGGGACATGGAACCTGCAACCCCAGGGACATCTACTGATCCAGGAGCTCCCACCCCCTACCGGACCACAGATGGCAATCTGGACGGAAGGCTACCCCCACAACAGAGGCAGCCGATCCATTCCCAGAAAGACGTCCCTCGTTGGAAGTGAAATTCAAAGGGAGCAACAAGCTGGGGTTTATCCTAAGCCCAGTCCTCAGCTACATGGAGGAATATGGCAGGATATTTCCGCGTCGACAAATAGCCCGCATCCGATCGGTGCAATCTGCCCTGGATGGACCAGCTGCGGATTGGTAGTGACTTGCTGACTCCAATGCCCCAGACTCAAGACTTCATCACCGTTTCATGTCTACTTTTGAGAGACGATTTGAAGACCCCCTGGCTGATCGCAAAGCCCGTGAAAGAATAACAACGATGAGGCAGGGCAAACGCCCAGTGGCTGAGTATACACCAGAATTCCGGGCCATTGCCAGCAAACTGAATTGGCCAGAAGACATCCTCCTTGGCCATTTCAAAGACGGACTAAACTATGATCTATGTGATGCTTGCCTGCCCCGAGGGGACCCACATCGACTTGAGGAATGGTACGTCTTGGCAGAGGACGCAGAGATCGACATATTGAAGAGGCACCGCCGCAATAAAACATGACCGCCCCCCGCCTGAGCTGACACAAGCCAACCGGAAATCATCGGATCCATGCCAAGAAGCAATGGGAATGTTCTCAGGGTGCGTAGAGAAATGGTCATGCAGGTGAGCGAGCTGTAGTAATGCCGCTCAAGGGCGTGTCAGCACAACCCAAACAGACCCCATCAACAAAAATAACGCCGGGGGAAAGATATTCCTAGCCGACAAAAAACGGCCTGAGAATGATGAAATTGCAGAAACCCCCCACCTCTGCTCCACGCAAGGGGAAGAACTTCAGCCTAACACCACGCGGGCCGGGTTTGATTCGTGCTCGTAGTGACAGCTCGGAGGGCGAACCCCTGGTAAGTGGAGGCATCACACCCATCTTCAAAACAGTGACTATATTAATCCCCCCCATGCCCGAAGCTGTGAAGGTGAAAGCCTTAATAGACTCTGGCTGTACCCGCTGCCTCATTAGCCCAACACTAGTGGGGAATCTGGGCATCCCATCCAGGAGACTGGAACAACCAATCTCATTTGGCCAGCTAGATGGATCCATAGCAGGGGGGGTGCCAGCTACTCTAGCCACTTTGCCAATACATCTCTCCCTGGGCAACCATGAAGAGGACTTAACGTGTGTGGTGACCCCAGGTATGGAATGCCCAATGATTCTAGGGATGGAATGGTTGAAAAAATGGAACCCCTGGGTAAATTGGAGGACGACAGAAATCAAATTCCCGAAGGGGGACCCTAGGGACTTAAAACCCCAAGAGAGGCTACCAGAATCAAGAATAGAAAAAGCATCCATAGGAGAGGAAAAAAGATTAACAGAAATACCAGAGGAATATAGGGAACTTGCTGAAGTCTTCAGTGAGGAGAGGGCGAATGAGCTTCCCCCCCACCGACCCACAG